GTATACTGCGACACCCGGTATATATAAATTTCTTCATGTTCAGTGGTATTTATTCATCACTATTTGATGATGATGATAAGATTGCCACTAGAATTTGCCTTTCACTATTCATTTTCTAATACATAATTCTGCCAATTTCAAAACTGCACTGACTTCGCAGGATCTGTATAATGCTCGTGCCTGAGCACTAGTGCACCAGTTTTCCAATGGAATCCAAAACCTGCCACCAAATTTACCACTGGAATACAAAATATGCACTCAGTGCGAGTGTATAATACACTATTTTTTTTCTGTGACAGGAAAAAGGACGATTCAAAATTGAAATAGTTATTTATTATACAAGGGAAAAAAGTAGTAGATTTTAGCTCCAGGTAGCGTAGCGGAGGTAGACAAAAAACCGTGAGCTAAAATCTAATATTTTTCCCGTGTATAATGCACTATTTTTTTCTGTGACAGAAAGAAGGACTAATCAATATTGAGAAGATATTACATTATTTTGAAATCTGAAAATTATCGACGTGAAATTTCAAGTTTTTAACAGTAGGGACACCTGCGTTGTAGGCATCTTTATCATCCTTCTGAAGTAATCAAATATCTTATGTCACTTCTGTCAGTCTAATTCTGTGTTTTCATTTCAAAAAATTGCGAATTTAGTGGTTGTTTAGTAATATATACGTAACCGCAAGGTCGAATGGAAGATAAAAGGACTTGCAGTTCTTTCTCGGAGCCGGTATTATTGACTCATTTTTCGGAACTATAGCACAACAAAAGCCATCAACAGTGTTTATATTTGTGATATATATCCGGGAAAAAAAGTACTCACTTTTTTCCACGTAAAAAGTAAAAGTAAAAATAATTTATGAAAAGTGACATTTTATAACCTGCCAACAGAGATGAAATGCCAAACTTTTTTCCCGACAAAATATTGTGAGATATACATATTATCGAGTACCATCAGAGGAATAGATTCATAGAAAAAAAACTCCCATCCACGTGTATTTTGAAATAGTTATGAATTTTTTTCGAATTTCCGAAAAAGGGGGCCTGTGGGGTTAATTCTTGCCCGAGTTCTTGCCCGACAAAATATTGTGAGATATACATAATTATTATCAACTACTACCAGAGGAACACATTCATACGAAAAAACTCCCATCCACGTGTATTTTGAAAAAGTTATGATTTTTTTTCGAAATTCCGAAAAAGGGGGCCTGTGGGGTTAATTCTTGCCCGACAAAATATTGTGAGATATACAGATTATCATAGACCCTCAGAGAAATTCATTGATGTAAAATAGTTTCATCCATGGACATATTTTGGAGGTTGAAGTAATTTCATGGCCAGCCATGAATATAAATTGATAATGAACGACCATTGGTGGTATGGCGCGCGCCTTGAATATTAGGCGAAGTCGTGGCTGGAACTCGTGGCTGGTTTCACACTGATTCATCGAAAAGAGCGAGGAAAAGAGATATTAAATCAGAACATTATCGATGTGAAATTTGAAGTTTTTAACTGGTAGGCTACGACAATTACTTGTATCTTGCATCTTTGTTGCTATGGAAACCTTCTGAAATAATCAAATATTTGCCAATTTAAATGCAATCTCGATTGTAATTTGATTTTGAAAAATTGCGAACTTATGGTTGTTTAGTTATTTACGTAACCGCGAAGTGTAATCTATAATAATATTTTAAAGAGGAAAGATTTGATTGTTTGTTTGTTCACCTATATGGCGGACGAGTTTTGTAATTATGATTCGTGTCGATTAAAAATTTGTATCCGAGGATTTTCTGGGTAGATTATGATTTTATTCTTTAAAATTGGGAAATTCAAAATGGCGGATCCAATATAGCAAGAGAGCTTTGTAATAAATAGAAGTTTGAAAAACTATAATGGAACACGCTTCTATGGATAGCCAAACTCAAGGCAAAACTGAATAGAAGTAGGAAATTGATGGTATTATTTTTTATTTTATGTTCTGGTTCCCACGAAAAGTGATATCCTGTAATGTTCAGGGAACATCGTGAGAACCAAGGGAAACAAGGTAGGAATTGGTGTTCCTCTCAAATTTCTGGAGGTTATATGCCTCGGGGAACACCTCCCTTGGCAATGTGTTCCAGAGCCTCGCTGTTCGTTGGATGAACGAGTCTTTGGAAAGAGATGTTCTGCAGGTCTCCGAATTGACCACGAAGGGGTGCGAAGCCTCGACTCGATTAATCTCGCGGGGACTGCCAAGGGAGGAACAATTATTGATATTTCAGAAGAGCATCGTCCATGAAAATATCTATTAAATGGAGCCAGATCGCCAACTTTTCTACGGTGTTCCAGAGAGGTGAACGAGTTTGTGAGCGAGGCATCACCACTAGTTCAGTGGGCATCACCCACGAGACGAATTGCCCTTTTTCGGACAGAATCCAACAGTTTCAGGGTATGTTTGGGAGCTGCACCCCAAATATGGGAACAGTATTCCAGGACAGGTCGGATCTGTGCTTTATAGCCATAAGCAGCTGAATGGAAGTGGAATAGCTCCTGGCTCGAGAAGAATGAGGATTACTCTGGCATAATACAAGATCAAAATGTGATATTCAATTCATCAAACTTACTTACATCTACAAATATTTCAAAATTCACCAAATCACACAGGACTTAAATTATATAATAAGTTGACTCATATACAAAAATTATGAAAACTGTAACATATCATTTGAAACTAAACTTGAAAGGTTTCTACTTGAAAATGTATTCTATTCCATAGGGGATTTTCTTCAGTTTTGAAATGATCTCGGAAATGATACTCATTTCAATTTGGTTTGCGAATATATTTATAATGATTACTTCTCGGATTACTTTGAAATGATTTTAACTTTCCAACATATATTTTGATCTGTTTGTAAATGTATTCATATTGATTATTTGTTATCATTATGTTTGATTTCACAACTACTATCTACTTGTATCTTGACTAGGCTGATAAGTTTTATGCATTTTACTAATGTACAACCTTTAATGCCGCAATAAATCATATATCATAGTCATATGAACAGACAATTTTTGCAAAAACATCATTGGTAGTCCCTCTTCATACTTATCAAAAATGCTCATTTTCGAAAAACAACTTGTAACTCTGAAACGAAGATATACAGATTTTTTGCCGAATTGTTACATATAGGGCATGTGAATGGCAACATGGGCTATATCGTTCGTACGTTTTCGCTGTAACGATTCGATAAACAATCGGATATCGATATACACGGTTTCCACGAGGATTTGCACCATTGGGTTCAATTTTCTTCTATTTAGTTCGGTGATAGGACATTCCTTTCAAGGGTCCAATTTGGCCTTCGGATTCTTACCTAACCAAAATCTCGAAAACTATACATTTTAGCATTTTTAGCCTCGATTTTAGCTCAATTGGAGGTTTTACTTTTATTCAACAAAAATGAGCAGGGAATCAGAGAAATCAAATTTTCATCAGTGGCGTAGATATTATGTGAGAAAAAGTTACCCCAATCCCCCGTAGCACAACACTGGATGAAATGTCGATCTGAAGATTAAATCCCATTAAATCATATACCGAATAGTAGTACAAAAAATTTAGCACCATGAGAGTGGAAAATATAGAAATATAATCTGCTGACCAAAATTATTAAAGAATGCCGACCAAGTATTTCTGGTTCGAATATTTTCTTCAAATTGCATATTTGAATATTCTATATGAATATATAGATATATAGATGCTACCAGTGAAATAATTCCGATTCATTCCTTCGGAGGGATAGTTTATTCTTGCAGTTTTTCAAAAATTCTTGCTGACCGAGAATTTCTGGTTCGTATTTTACCGAGTATTTTACCATCAAATTACATATTTGGATATCTCATATAGATTTATAGATGCCACCAGTGGAATTATTTCGATCCACTCCTTCAGAGGGGTAGTTTATTCTTGCAGTTTTTCAAAAATCCTTGCTGACCGAGAATTTCTGGTTCGTATTTTACCATCAAATTACATATTTGGATATCTCATATAGATTTATAGATGCCACCAGTGGAATTATTTCGATCCACCCCTTTAGAGGGATAGTTTATTCTCGCAGTTTTTCAAAAATCCTTGCTGACCGAGCATTTCTGATTCGAATTTTCAAGTCAATGTCGAAGTCAGTGTTAATGAAGCCTGATACCTATATTTATGTATATTTATTAAAAGGAAATATTAATCTGTTTAAATTTTTTTTTCGTGAGGTTCAAGCTACCCGAGAAGCTACCTGTCTACCAGAAACCAAATTTGTGTAGGCCTTCAGGCCTCGGCCCTCATCATAAAGAATACAGAGGGTTGAAACTTTATAAGAATTAAAGATAAAACTCATTCCACCCCTGATGTGGTCTTTACTCGGGTCCGATATCATCAATCCAACAGAATACCACCTGTAATAACTATTTTTTAATGCTTGGCAAGAGATTTATGACCTACTTTCGCCAAAAACTGACTACACTCGACAATAATTGATGCTTACGTTTACAATTATGATGAACATATATAATTCCTGTCTATGACACTTACCACTGAAGATGAGTATTAGAGTATTATGAATCGACGAAAATACAATTATTGTTTATACACTCTTTACACCCCCGCACGGTTTTGGGGTCCTTAACCAATGGATTCGACCACCAAGAAATCGGAATGTTAATTAACGCCAAATTACTTCTGAATCAATAATATTACTCATGTTTCCGAATTGATTGAAGCGAAAATGTGCATTAATTTCTAGCGAATTTCCTCGCGAATTTCAACTTTACACAAAATCCATACGTGTCCGACCGTACACAAACTCCACCAACACAAATATGAAAAAATCGAAATACAAATATTTGACAACAACGAAGGCCAAACATACTGTCACTGTCAACTCGCTGAGCTTGCTGTCATCAACAGCTGATTTACTGCTTGTGTTCACTTGGGATTATTTTCTAATAGATTATATTTCCAAGAATATTTTCTCCTTGGATACGATTCATGGAAGGAGTGTTGATTCGTCAGTTTGAATTTGATTTCAATCAATCAATTATCGAAATAGAAACAACAGTGAAATATATATAATCATCGCTATTAAGTATTATAAAGGCAATGTTCTTACAAGTAACGAACATAATAAAAAGAAAATGACAGATGACGTATACAATGTTGCCAACCTATTACATTACGCTGTTGTCAATTTTACACTGTGAACTAGTGTGAATAAAAAATGGCGGACGAACAGTTACCTGCCGGTTGGGAAAAACGCCTCAGTAGATCGACCGGTGAGTTCTTTTTTCCTTTTTTGTCATGCATTCGAAAAAAACATTGCCTCTTACAGGATAGGGGATACAAAATTTGAAGTTCAGCATCAGTCATTACCTGTAAATTGGTTGGTTGGTACACACTTCACATTTTTGTTGTTTGTTTCAGGTCAGCATTATTATTTGAACATATATACAAAAGAATCTCAATGGGATGCACCAGACAAGCCCGCAGAGCCTGTTTCTTCCAGTGGACCTGAGCAAGTGCAATGCTCCCATCTACTAGTAAAACATAAAGATTCCAGGAGACCCTCTTCTTGGAGGGAAGAAAATATCACAAGATCAAAAGATGAAGCTTTGGATTTAGTAAAATGTACGTACCCAATAATGAATTTCAGTGCATTTTGAGCTGTTGACCTAAGAGTATTATTGATTTTTACTTCTAGATTGGTACTCCATTTGGGGTTCCCATTTGATTTAGGCTCTGGTTAGAGTTCCACACAGTTGCAGAACCTTAATAGTTTTTACTAGAGGTCGGCATCTGGGGAACAATATTTAATTCACTAAAGGTCCCTGCTACTTATGCAACAGAAAAGAAACTTGGGAATGAGAAACAGAAAAGTTCATGTGTGTATCATAATAATAGTATGTGATGATTAAAGTATAAGTAAATAATAATGTTCAGAAAGAAAAAGAAATTGGAGAAACTGATAGGTATAGGAAACTATTGTTATGATTATGAACATTGATATTGAGTGCATATTTGTTATATTTTTTCTTTAGGCACATACAATAAACCTAATCAACATTCTATATTCTACAGTGTTTCAAATTTTAATGGGGAATATTCCATAGTCCATAGAACATGGAAATTAAAAGAAAAGTATATATCAATAAACCACATTTCCATATCTTGAAAATAATGAAGCTCCATAACATAATACAAGTTTATGTGAGCTTCATTTTATATTTATGAGTTCTATAGTGCCTAAAATTACCATTAAAATCTGAAACACCATATATAGGTTCAAGGTTGTACTAAGGTCTTCTGGCACAGAACTGAGTTGAAAATGTCATTAATTTTCATTACAAAGTGATAAAATTCCACTGATGCTGATCTTTAGTGAATTATATTGAAGTTCCACAGGTGTGGACCTTTCAAAACCTTCAGTAAATTGTACTATAGTTCAGCAAGGTTTAGAACTTCTTGTTCATGTAGTTCAAGCTTTTGGTAAAAGTAAATTTCAATTTCAGCCCATCGAGATCAGATTGCATCTGGAAAAGCATCCTTTGCTGAACTGGCTGCTAAATATTCAGATTGTTCCTCAGCAAAACGAGGTGGGGACCTTGGGCCTTTTGGAAAAGGGGCAATGCAAAAACCATTTGAAGAAGCTGCTTTTGCATTAAAAGTAGGAGAACTATCAGATCCTGTCTTTACAGACTCAGGAGTTCATATCATCTTAAGGACAGTTTAATTATTGAACAATTGTTTCTTAAATAACATTAGATCCATATCCTCTCATGTTTCAGTCTACAACACTTTCAAAATTTATGTCTGTGCTTCACTATGAAAAATTGTGAGAAATCCATCAATTATTTTCAAATATTTTGAAGCCATTATAGTAAACTTTATTGGTGATTATTGTTTCTGGTATATTATATTGTGAATATTTTGTTCTTCTATCTATGCTCAGCAAAACATTATTGCCGAAGCTACCTAGTCCATAATTTTTTCATGGAGATTTTACAAATAAATTTGAAGATTGTTTATTCAAAACAAGTTTATATTCTATGATGTTTAATTCTGGTCATCATTGGGATTTTTTAAATTATGTCCCATGACCACCCTTGAAATCATTCTAGTTGAATTAAAAATAATTTAGTGGAATTTGGGAATTTGTATTATCAATTTTTGTTGTTCATGAAGATTTTCAATGTAATTTCTGCTTAAAGCAGTAATGGAAGGATATGAATCATGCTTTAATATTCCTAGAGCTATGAGAATTTTTACTTATTCTACAAGTGATAAAATATTGCATTACTTTGTTATAGAACAAAAGGCAAATATGACTGGCATTTATTGATTGTGAGATATAAGATAAAATAGTTGATTTTTCAGTTTCAATTTGAGCTTGAAAATCATAGTGCTCTTATTTCATTAACTTTTTATTATAAGAATCTTGTACATTTTGATTGATTGAAAATAAACTTTCAAAAATTTACAGTTATTTTTCAATCCATAAAATAATGTAATATTTAATATTTTTATGTAACCTATTTATTAGGATGGTAATCAAATGATAGATAGAATTGAGATTCATGTATGAGTTTGATATATATATATATTTGAAAGATCCCATAAGAATATATGACATTTTAAAGTTACTATATAGGGTGACATTTAAGAATGTGGCCATCAACCTTTAAGAGTTGATTTTTTGAGTGGTTTCGAACCGAAAAGTTCATGTAAACATGGGTCCGGAAATACACCATTATCAAGATACAGCCACAGGGCGTTAAAGATTTGAAAACAATCGCGGCACGTTTCCTCTTTTATTTACTTCTTGTTTCAACTCGTGATCACATGACGGAAGTATAATATGTCCGGAATTATAGCAGAAACAGACAGAAACTAAATCGCTGTGCCCTGGATTTGGCTCAGACTGAAGGGTGGCACAGCTAGGTTTTTGGAATCTACCATTCAATTGGTATATATGGTGTATGGTTTGGTATTGCACAGTAAAGTGCAACTTCTCAATCATTTTGCTCAGGATAGTGAATGGCACAGGTGCCGTTCGGTAAAGTACAATTTTTATACATGCCATTGGGGCATATATCATTTCGTTATCAGATGACGATCGAATTTTGCATCCGGCTCTTGGACTATATGGAAATAATAAGGAGTATATAAGTGTATGAGTTAATTTATTGGTTGCCCGAATATAATTTATTCCATGGCAACGCGGAAGTCGTGCGATAGACATTTTTTTTATATGAAGTACCAAGTACTAACATTTTGGCTCACTCTATCAGCCCTATCACTCACGACATGAACTTTCCGGATACCCTGTATACAAAAACGTCAAAACTGCAGCGGCAAACACATCAAGTTCCAGTACAAACCTAAAGAGAAGAAGATTATTTAGGCCAGCGACCGTCAAGGTCTATACAATGAACTCAATACTGAGTTCATTGGGTCTATAGCGACAGGCAGTGGGACTCTGTAACTCAAAGCGAAAGCGAAAGCATGCGTAATCGACTGCTTTTGCCGTTTCGGTACTCTGTATCAATATTCGGATGAGGTCGGAGACGCCGAACGTGAGTTCGTAAGCGAAGCAGAAGCGAAGGATTTTGGTTGTCGCTTTCTGCGATTCTCAACATTTGAGGTTATAGGTATTGGTTTTTGTTGTTGTTCCTAGTTCGAACTTTGTGTTGATTTGAGAAAAATAATAGATTAATAAATGAGGAATGAGCCCAAACATGGATAACAAAGCGAGCAAAAACACAACTCAGTCAGTGGGACAGATTCCTCAGTCTTATGAACAAAATCCTAAAGATATTCCAGAGAGATGGAAGTTCCCTTTGGTAGGATTAAGGTAGGGGATGAAAGAACGTGAGACGTGAGATAAAAAATATGATGGACAGTGTGATGAAAACATACAGCTCATTTGGTAGTTGAAAAATAAACTGAAAACTGTCATTAGTGCTGTTGAATAGGGTCTGGAATAATTCATATTCATTCGAATTATCCTTCTCTTTTAGATTCTTGATACATCAAAACAGGCAGATATAAGTAGCTTCTCCAAAAAATGAAATGTGCCATTACTGAATGTTGTCTCACTGAATCCTTGTTAAGAAAAATATGTCTTTGGTGTGAGTCCATTGAAGAAGACAGTGATAGGTAATTAAAGAATCCTACTAATATAATATGCCCATATGATTATTAATACGTATATGGCCGATACCTACAACAGTGAAACATAACAGAAAGCCTGGAACGTTCAAATTTGAAAAATTTGCATAATAAGTGCATTGGAAGGGAAAATAATTTGGATAGCAAAAACCTTGGAGACACCCAAGAAGAACTGTGTAATATTACTGTGTAGGTACCAATAAGGGAGAATCAAGAGTAAATTCCATGAAACAGGATTAACTGAACATTATTTACTATGTTGAACAAGAACAAGAACGGATTCTACTTTCACTACATTAATAATTCCATCCAAGATTCTAAAGTGAACTGTAAGAAAAAGTGCATCTGTATAAATGCACTGTCAACATATAGCTGCCTTGCAGAAGGCGATTCAAGGAATTATATGTGCTTATCATCTTGTTTGATATGCAACATAGAGAAGCAAGTTCTTATAGGTATTACATTATAGTATGTAAATAATAATATACTGAGTGTTAGATTATAGAATGATATGTCCATTATAAATATAAGCAGTTACATATCTTACAATATTATTGTTATTCTCAGATCATTTGCCTTTACTAGTTGCATTTAAATAGAAAGCTATACCTGAGATATACCTAGTGAGAATATAAATACCAATTTTTTATATGAACAAATTAGGTACATATTTTCCAATGAGCTGCTCTGTGCAGAATAAGTTCTTGTTTGGCTGATTACTATTTTTGTTGGCGTTGATGTCAATATCTGTTTGTAGTCAATACATTCATTCCAATTCATAGAAATAAATCATCTTCATATGTGTTTTTGATGTTTTATTGAATTTCTTTTCTCTCGGAAACTTCTCCAAGTGCTTTATTTCTGATTGAAACCAAAAATTAAAAATACAATAATTCGTAAATGCCGCTTTTTTGATCCAATGGGATGTTTCCTTTGAATAAATGGGATCCGCAACACTGTTGCCAAATTTGACTCCACCAACTTCGTTCTATTTCGTATGAAATCGTATGACGATAGCGAAAGCATAACGAACTACATATAGAGTACCGGAAAGCGAAGTCGTATACTTCGCTTCGTTTCGCTTTCGCTACGCTTTCGCTATGCGACACAAGTTACAGAGTCCCACTGACTCTCTTTGCCGGATAGCCGTGAAAACTAGCATCCATACTCCATAGTCAGACGCGACCAGATCCTTTGTGTCTAGATTATAGAAAATGATGGAAAGAAGTTTTAGAACCTAGACAAATATTGGATAATAAGAGATGAGTAAAAATTATAAAGAAGAAGAATTTTTGAGGTAGGATAGATCAATTATTTGAGGTTAGAGTGAAATCAAAACATTACATTCTCATAAAATCACTGTTCAGCTCGGGCCTCCAGCTGGTATATCAAATTCCAATATTGGTATATTGCTTGAAAAAATAGGTACAAAATGCTGAAGAGTACTAGTGAAATCCTATCAAGGAAACTGACATCCCTTAGTAAATTCCAGCTAACATGTTATTCTATTGCTGCACAGCCTATTACCCAAGAAAGGCTACAAAAGTTCCGTACTAGTGAGACAGTTTGTTCCAAACATTCAATTGAACATCTATCACAGTTCTACAAAGTCCCTGCCAATGACAAGAAACAAATTTTTGCACATGGAGGATTGACAAAATCTTTTGAGGAACAATCAAAATCATTCAATGAAACTTGTTTGATGATTCGACAGCCTGCTTTGGATGTAATCAGTCTTCTGAAAACCTTAGATTACTCCCAGCCTGTGGTCAGATTTGTTTTGTATGGAAGAAAAGGTAGTGGAAAGACAGTATCTTTAGCTCACATTTTGCATTATGCCTTCCAAGAGGGATTTCTTATTGTTCACATCCCATGGCTGGGCAACTGGATGCGTAGATGTAGGGAGAACAGCAACTCTGAAGATAAAGAAGGTTATGTTGACATAAACTTTGATGCAGCAGCATGGCTTCTACACTTCAAGACACAAAATGCTCATCTGTTGTCCAAACCTGAGGCAAAAACAAGTCAAGACCATGTATGGAGCAAACGTGAAATCACACCAGCAGGTTCTCCACTTTTGTCTATCATTGAACATGGCATAAACAGATTAAAATATGCTTCTAAGGCTGTAGTTGTCATATGTAATGAAGTTAAAGAGCTATCAAATCAAGGAGTTTTCAAAACTTTAGTTGCTGTGGATGGTTTCAATGCTTTTTTCTATCCTAGCACAAGGGTTTACACAGAGAAAAAAGAAGCTGTGCCTCCACATAAAGTAACTGTGACAGAAGGTTTCATAAATTTGAGCAAGTTTGACTGGAAGAATGGTGCAGTTGTGGTCACTGTTGATCAGATTGCTGCAGGTCAAAATGATCAACTCTCATATTTGCCCAGGTAAGGATATTTTCCTCATGTGAAACAAATTCAGCACATTTATAATAGTCATAAGTCTTCACTATTTTCAAAAATTCATATTCATGATTGCAACAGGAACCATGAGAAAAGAAGGAACAAGTGAAAATTCTCCAATCAAAAATGAATTGATAAATAAGTAATTGCAAAAAATAGAAAGGAAAATAACTCTTGAAAATGTCAAACTATTAATTTGATACTGAATTAAAGATGATAAGTGCTATTTCAGTTTTTCCTTTTCCACTTTTGTAATGCTTTTATTTTATCTCTTCAGTCCAGCAGGCACATTCTTTCATTTCATTTCTAGCTGTACCATTGCTATGCTACTTACTAAAATGAATTACAAATATTGCATTTTTTTTTCAACTAATTTTATTGATTATAGCTGACCCTGCAAATGTTGTTTTGCTTTGCACATTATTTATAGAAAATATTTTTTCAGTTGAATAATTAACAAAACACTTTTTTTTTCTCTATTTCTCTTCAGTTGACTAACAATGAAAGCATGTTTTCCTAGTTTTTCAAACTATATTTATTTTTTACTTCTTTCAGTTTGGTAGTCATTTTTTTGTTTTCTAAACTACTATTTATTTTCAATTTCTTTTTAGTTTGGCTATCTATGAAAGACTGTTATTTTGGTTCTTTGAAACCTTATATTATTACAAAGCTCTGTTGACATATTGAATCCGCCAACTTGAATTTTCTCATAATCTCTGACCCGAAAAACCTCAGATACCAATTTTGAATAGAATCGGATCGTAATTGATGAACTTGTATGCCGTATTGGATTTCCAAAATTTGACGAGAATAATAATATCTGAACCTGAAAACCCCCAGATACCAATCTTGAACAGAATCGGATCTTAATTACAAAAGTCGTCCGCGATATTGGAACCATATTTCTTGAACTTTGGCATTTTAATTTTTATTTAATCTTTATTTGAAATAGGAACATCCTAATTTACATACATTATTTCTGATATTTGTAATTAGTAATATAAATACTTAATGCTAAACAAAGAATGCTAATATATATTTAACAAAAATAAAAAATAAAAAAAAAATACAGATATAGTGTCACAATCCTTAGAGATTGAAATATATATACACACATCTCATACTCATTTACACTCAGTATACATGAGCAACACAACCCACACACACTTACACACATGCCTTCCATAATAATTCATCTTTTTACATGTACAGTGGTGAAATGATTTCATTTAGACGAATTTTGAATGTGTTTAGAGACGGTGAATTTTTTACTTCATTCGAGAGGTTATTAAAATCATTTAAGCCCTTGAAGAATAATGTTTTCATTGAGCTTACATTTCGAGTTCGAGCTATATGGAAATTGTTAACGTTTCTTGTAGGATAAGTGTGGATCTCATTATTATACGTAATCAATGAACTAAGATAACTTGGGACTAACTTTTTTGTTATTTTATAAATGAACACCATTGTCATGAAAAACAGACGTTTGTTCACGTTATGCCAGTTCAAAGTACTTAACATCAGATCAATTGGAACATATTTATTGCATTGCAGAATGATTCTCATACCCCTATTTTGAAGTTTTTGTAACGTCATTAAACAATTTTTGTCCAACAGGTACAGTAAGCTAGCACAATAGTCAAAGTGGGGTTGAATTATCGTCCTATAAATGGTTATTTTGGAAAAGAGAGACATGTTTTGGGATACTCTAGATAGAAAGAATAGCTTCTTTGATATTTTTTTACAGATGTAATCGCTGTGACTTTTGAAACTTAGTCTATCATCTATCATAAAACCTAGATATTTGAATTCCTTAACCCATTCCAGATTTTCACCTTCTATTTCAATATGTAAATGTTGGTAGTTTACTTTTTTTAATTTATATTTTGTACTCAGTATCATTGCCTTTGTTTTCTTTGAATTTAATTTCATCTTATTACTTTTCAAAAATGATTCGAATGATTTTAAAACATGATTTAGTCTCGTTACCGTTTCACCTAAGTTACTACCATAACATGCTACTAAAGTATCGTCCGCAAAAAGGTTAAGAAAATCATAGCCCCTTACAAAATTGATATCATTCAGGTAAATAATGAATAGGAGAGGCCCCAATACACTGCCCTGGGGCACCCCCAAATCAATAGCCAGTTCACTAGAAAACGCTTTTTCTATTTTACATTTCTGAGACCTTTTGCTTAGATATTGTTCAAACCATTTCAACACATTACCTTCAATGCCATAATATTTTAGTTTTGTTATTAAGATTATTCTGTCAATGGTTTCAAAGGCTCTTTTGAAATCAAGAAAAACTGCAATTATATAGTTACCCTTATCTATTTCTTGCTTCCAGTTTGATATCGTTAATTGTAAGGCGGTTTCGCACGAATGCTGGTGTCTAAAACCTGACTGATTACCAATAAGAAGTTGATTTGCTTCAAAGTATTTTGACAGCTGTTGATGTACAATGATTTCTAAGATTTTTTCGATACTTGGCAGCGTGTTTATTCCTCTGAAATCTGTTGCTTCAGTTGCATTGTTAATTTTAGGGATAGGAATCACAGTGCTCATTTTTAGATTCTCAGGAAAGTTACCTGATGTAAGTGAAGCATTGATGAGATTGAGAAATGCATATCCTATTGTATAAAATGTTTCTTTCAAAAATTTCATATTGACGACTTCTTCGACACTTCCTTTGTTTGGAAGAGAGAAAATAATATTTTTCAGTTCTTTAAGACTAATATTCTCAAAGTTTACAAAGTTACTTGTTATTAACGGCAAATGTTCATGATTCCATTCAGATTCTGGTGTAATCAGATCGGAAATATGTTTTATACTTTCAATAAAAAACTCATTGAACATATTAGCTGCTTCAAGTTCATTTTGAGCTACTGTGCCTGTGCCAAAATTGATACATTTGTAATTTAACTCATTTTTTTCACCTTTTATCAATTTTTTCAATGTTTTCCACATTTCTTCTGCATTACCCCTATTTTTATCAATGTGATTTTCATAATATTGTGATTTCTTAGTTTTTAGTATATTAACCACTGTATTTCTCTTCAGTTTGTATTGGTTCCATAAGTCATTTTTGTCAGGACCAGAACTTTTTTTGAATTGTTTATATGCTGTGTCTCTTTCTCTAGAAGCTGACTTTGTTTCTTCATCATACCAAGGTACCTGCCTATTTTTAGAAACAATTTCCACTAGCGGTGCAAAACGGTCTGTAATTGTTCTACATTGTGTTTCAAAATTTTTGTAGATTTCATTAACGTCAATAGAATTATTCAACCAATCGCACGATAATAAGTTCAAATTGATATTATGAAAGGCATTTGTATCAAGTTTTCTTGTGAGGAAGGAGCTTTCTATATAGTTATTATTTTTTGTGGGTAAGTTAATTGTAATGATAGAATGGTCAGTAATTTTAGGACAGTCGTGCACATTGACAGATATATTTTGATTCGATAGTACGTAATCAATAAGTGTAGCACTAATGTTCGTAATCCTGGTACATTTATTTACAAATTGTTCAATACCATATGATTGAATAATACTCTTGATTTGGCGTGTGTAATGATTATTCTTATCCAAAAAATTTATATTTATATCTCCTACCAGAATGCATTTATTTTTAGTACAAAAACAAGCATCGCACCATTCCTCAAAATCTTCTAAAAAGGCTTGATGACTCGCATTTGGTGAATGGTAAACACCACCAATGAGCCATTTGGTACCACTTAGAGTTACATTTACAAATTGACACCAGTAATTCATATGTAATGAGAATTTTCGACTTATCTTATATTCAATATTATGCCTGATGTAAATAATTACTCCCCCTGTGTGGCGTGAGCTAGAATTGCATCTTACTAGGGAGTATCCTGCAATGTTAATTTCGCTATCTTCTATGTCTTCTGTACATCTTGCTTCACTCAGTATCACTAGTGAAGGGTTGTAACAAAACAATTTAGCAACTATTTCGTCTTTGTGAGATGGAAGACTTTCTGCATTCATATAAATTATATCACTTTTGAATGGTAAATTAGGACTTTCTACCGGTTTTGAGGAAAGAATCATAATCTTCGACCACAAAATCCCGCAGATACCAATTTTGAATAGAATCGGATTATAATTACAAAACACTTTCGCCATATTGGATCCGCCATCTTGAATTTTCAAATGTTGAGAAGAGAATCATGACTTCCCACCCCCAAAAAAAAAACAGATACCAACTTTATATAGAATCGGATCATAATTACAAAACTGATCCGCCATTTTGCAGCAGCCATCTTTCGCTTCTCCATAGTGCATGATAAATTTGGAGAAAACTGGCATAAAGCCACTGTTTATACCTAACTCTTGAAGGCGACACCCTTCCTTTGTAGAGAGGCATTACGAACGCCAAAGTTGATACTCTCCCCTCGTAAGGGTACCTGACGTGATTCCATACACTCACATAATTTAATGTCGACTAATTATTCGACTGATGAAATTAATTTAGTGAATCAAAAAAACCTTTTTTTCACGAAGGAATGTTCGTAGAAGAATAGAACTATGATTTATATTTATGGAATGACAAACTCAACGTTGAAGAAAACTTATCTTTAGAATCGCCTTATTCAATTTAACTCTCTGGTATATAAACTGGTATAGAACCACTGTTTATACCTAACTCTTGAAGGCGACACCCTCCTTTGTAGAGAGGCATTACGAACGCCAAAGTTAATATACTCCCCTCGTAAGGGTACCTGACGTGATTCCATAAACTCACATAATTGAATGTCGATTAATTATTCGACTGATGAAATGAATAATTTAGTGAATGGATAAAAGCCGCTGTTTTACGAATGAATGTTCGAAGAAAACTTATCTTAAAAATCTCATTTCATTCATCTATCTGGTATGACATGAACAGATCTAGAGTTTCGAACTGTACTGTCGTACAAACGAAAAGGAATTTTTTGCAAATCCAGGATTTTAAATTC